GGGGGGGGGGGGGACTACTGTTCTGCTCCTTTGCCAGTGTTCCATCTTGTATCGCATACTTTTTAATATCTATGTAACTGCTGAGGGAAGTAATTCAGAAGTTTAGCATGTAGCATCATCAGTATATTGATAACCCCATTCTATGTGTTTTTCATTGGATTCAAGTGAAGCACTGAAGGTGTGAAACTAGTTATTGCTGTTAAGGGGTGGTTGAAGACAGATAAACAGAAGGTGTTTCTAGCCAAGATGGAGATTTGCTGACAGGTGGTTCATTTAACCTGCAAAATGGGGATTCAACCAATTTGGGATGGGGTTGTTCTCTGGGATCTGGTCTGTAATTGGGGAATTTTTGCTGGATCCATTATTGTCACTGAAAGCCCAAGTGGCTTCCTTGGTGTGCCCCTTATATCAATTTGGGCTACAGCCCATCCTGGGGCTTGTCACTATGGCTGTCCTCCTCAGCTCACTGCCAAGTGTAATTAGAGGGGTTGTGACTTGCGAAGGGGCCTGTAGGCTGCTCATGAAATCCCTTCTCCATTGAGCTTTACTTTTGGTAACAAAGATGTTTTTATTCTACTTCTTATTCAAACATACAGTGTGCCAAGGCTTTAAGGATGGAATGTTGTACTGAGTATTTTGCTGATACATTCCGTATCTTGAATGATACTTTTCTTATTTTTGTTTGGATGCTGCACTAGTAGTTTAATTAAACAGAACCTTCTGTTTTAAGAATTTATAGCACAGTTACCTTTTGTTTTAAGTGGAGCAATGGCAACCTCCCTCAACATGGTGCTCTCCACCTGTGTTGGATTACAACTCCCACCATCCCCAGTTGACCTGACCATTGTGCTGACTGGGGGATCAGGGGAGCATGTATCTGGAAGGTGCTATATTGGGAAAAGTGTAGGATGGCACAGGCAACAAAATTCTTGACTTCTGATGACTGGAGTCAAATATATGATGGAACATATCTGAAGTCACATTGGGCGAGAAGTTTGTGTTGGTGAGGGTTTCACTGGGATTGTGGCTGGTAAGGGGGGAGATGCAGCTCCTCTCTGTCAACACCCCCAGCAAGGGGG